AGGCCCGAAACGTCAGCCTCTCTGCTCCTATGATGCTGCTTGGCCTGCTGTGTTCATCCAGCCCTGCACCTTGTTGTCTATGATACCAGTCTGTTTTTCATCCTATGGTGCTGCTTGGATACAGCATTTGAGTAGCAACTTGTTTGAGGAGACCTGAAGTGGAATTGTTTTGTAACCTCTGCTCTTTATTGGTCTAGCAGCAGTAAAAAAAACTTTGACTATCTGATGGAAAGAAATTAGATTTCAGTTGTCATTTTTAAAAATCTAACTACTGCATGTAATATTCCTCCCTGAACTCATCTGTACGTAATCAGAAATAAGAGAGAGCTTCCAAGATTTTTTTCATTTTCACCCCCCGCAATCCTTTGGTTTTACCTGGTTGATGCAAATGTGTACAGAATCTCTATGAGGAATTAAAGTATGGGCCTTAGTGCACTAAATTGCTATGCCACAATAAATATATGAATATAAGGCACAAACAGTAAAGGAAGTTTGATTTGTTTTTCCAGCTGAGTGATGATGCTCGAACCAAAAAGTCATGATAGATAACTCAAGATTTTGTAATGGAATTGCTGTAATTTTGTTATCTTTTAAGTCGTGGCAACTGATCTACCAAACATTTCTGTTCTCATAGTTTTCTCTTTTTTTTAAATTTGTATGCATGCTTTTTAAGGATGATTTTCTGGATAAAGAAATAAGGAAAATACTTGGAACTAGACTTTTAACAGGAACTTCCTGTCCTTAGATGCATTAATCCCACATAAAAAGGGGAGGGTGGGCTGTTTTTCAAAACTCTGGGTGGGCTTTGTGTATCTTAACACCAGAAGCATTGCTCAGCTGGACAAAACAAACATTGACTATAGTAAGTAACCCGCCAGCCCACACACAGAGTCAAGCAGTAGAGGATATGCTGGAGTACAGTAGGTTGTAATTATAGGCAGAAGCTTCAGACAGACCTCCTGTTTTATTATAAGGCTATTCCTTCTATGTATCAAGATCACAGAAGAATTAAATATTTTATGGCGCTACCTAATTTGTACTTTTCAATTAAATTGTTAGTTTATTTGAGAACTTAAAAAGATCAGAGGAATTGATGTGTAATTATAGCTTTCACTATTTCACTTGATACATTTCAAGACAGTACTTCAGAAATACTGCATTTCTGTTAATGTTCATTGTGATCCTGCTAATATAACTGGCTTTACAGAAAAGCCATTCATAGTTATCAGTATTTTCAAAAGATTGTAGAAGATATTTATTTTGAGTATTTTCTTTTAAAGCACATTCTCCAAACAATGTAGAAAGCTGATTTCCCCCTGTGTTACTGATCCTCTAATTTTATTTTGCATCTCTCCCTCTCTCTGCAGGCAATAAGTGATGAAGCCAAAGTTTTCTGTCTGATTTATCTCTGTACCACAGCTTGTAAATATTTTGTGATTACTGTATATCTTACACTAGAGCCCAGCTCAGACCATTGACTGTAGGACGTCATGTTGAGGTTGTACAGGACATTGGTGAGGCCACTTTTGGAGTGCTGTGTATAGTTCTGGTCGCTCTGCTATAGGAAGGATATTGTTAAAGTGGAGAGGGTTCAGAAAGGATTTACCAGAATGATGCCAGGACAGGAGGGCCTGAGTTATAAGGAGAGGCTGGATGGGCTGGTACGTTTTTCACTGGAGCGTAGGAGATTGAGGAGTGACCTTATACAGATTTATAAAATCATGAGGAGCATTGATAAGGTGAATAGCTAGAACAGCTTTTTCCCAGGGTGGAGGAGTTCAAAACAAGGGGGCATGTTTTTAAAGTGAGAGGAGAAAGATTTAAAAGGGACCTGCGGAGCAACTTTTTCACACACTGGGTGGTTCATGTGTGGAATGAACTGCCAGAGGAAGTAGTAGATGCAGATACAGTCACAACATTTCAAAGACATTTAAACAGGTACATGAATAGGAAAGGTTTAGAGGAATATGGGCTAAATGCAGGCAAGTGAATTAGTCTATTTGGGAAACTTCATCACCATGGATGAGTTGGACCAAAGGGTCTGTTTCCGTGCTGTACAACTCTGAGTCTATACATTGAAAGTGGGCTTGTGCTTTCCCATGGTGCATATTGACCTACACCAGCAACTTGTAACACACTGACAAAACCATTTGAAAGGAATCTTCCCATAATTTTAATAGATGATTGACAAGTAAAATGCTTCCAAGAGTGCTTAACCTGTAGCACCATTAGCTACAGTAATGCAATTACTACATTAGTTGTAGTACATTAGTCCAAATTCTGCCAAGGTACTGGCTCTGAAAGGGCAGTTTTGGTGAAAAAGGTTCACTGCTGTTTCCATTGATACAGTTACGACCTTTAATTGTATGCAACAGGCAAACCCCTTAGTATGGCCAGCTGTCATTCATACAAATCCCTGCTTTCTGAAAATTTGTTTCCAAGTGTTGGCTTTCCCATCAGTATAGATGTCTGGATTACTGTAGTGAAGTTTTTGTCACTGCTTCCTAGGCATAAAGTACTGATAGCCTCTTTGAGAAAATGTCATTTTGATTAGCTGATGTCTTCTGTCTACAGGAGTTAAAGTTTTACTTCTTGAAAACTAGCATTTGCTAGTTGCTTCATATAAATGTGCTCTGCAAGCTATCTGATATGATAGATGTGTCAGGTGATGAATTGGAAGATGTAGTAGTATCGAAACTTCATGCTATGGTAACTTCTCTTTAAGCAGAGAGATGTCTCCTCTCAAAAATGTCTTCTGTGTCTTGTGACATAGCAGATGGTACAATTTTGAGTGTCAGTCCCTCTTAAATGACATGACCTGGTAGATTTGAATGGGTTTTAAATGTAGTTCCCAACATGTGGTGAAGATGAAACACATCTTATTAACTTGGACCCTCAAAGCTGGTTTCCTTCATCTGAGTAATGCATTATGTTCAAAATCCCCTAAAAAGTACTCATCCTCATCACGTTGCAATGCATGAGAGTATGGACAAACTTTGGTGTCCACGTTCTTTTCAACAAGTGTGTTTTTCTCCACACAGGTTGGCACTGACAGTATGATTGGCTATATGACTAAAGTGGCAGAGAATACCTCTATCAAGCGGTCAATCATCGGCGCCTCCTGCACAATCAAAGAGAACGTAAAAATTGCCAATTCCATAATCATGCATAATGTCACTATTGAGGAAGGGTGAGTAAGTTGCACAGATATACAGAAAAATATCAATGCTATTTTTCCAAAATGCCATGGTCTAATTGTTATCATACCATGGAGTATGTCACAAATCTAGTCTGAAAAGATTTAATTGTTCCGATCCTGCACCACAGCTACTTTCATAATACTCTGGTTAAACAACACATGTTGCTATATATATTGAGTTTTGTCATAATAAAACTATCAGCGCTGAGGGTATGAGGATTTTGCACTCTTGCCCTGTGTGACGGATGTGGGGGTGAAATAATTTGGAACTGTCACAATATTCACCCACACCACCAATCCTCACAACCCCTCACAAAGCTCCCGTGAAGCCACTGCCAATTGGCACAATATACACATTACCCTGACTAATGCTCAAACAGACCAAACTGAATCTCTATCTAATAATTAGGCATTTGTAAGAAGAAAATTGACCACAATTGTTTTTTCCAAGTCATAGATTATCTATGGCTAGATCTCCTGGAAGAAAGGAAATCCGAAAAATAAAAAATAATAATGAACTCACAAAATAGAACATAGAACAGTACAGTGCAGTACAGGCCCTTGGGCCCACAATGTTATGCCAACCTATTATCCTAACCAGTAACGTGGAAAGTCGTATTTGGGAAAATGGCATTTCTTTTTGTTTCAAGATGAATATAATAAAATGTAGATCCTACGTTCATTGCAGAATTTAAAATAATATTTTAAAAGAATAAAAAGAATGTATCAAAAATCAAAACTTTTAGTGAGTGAGGAAGTATGGCTACATGCAACCTGGTGTCATAATCTTGTGGAAATCTTTTTTTTCCATCTTGCTTTCAGGCTTTTGTATAGCTGTGCTGTCCAGCAAATACCCTCACGGTATGAGTAAAAAGTACATCTATAGCCTTAGTTCTAAGCTGATGTTCCACTGCACTTTCAGTATACGTGCATCCTTTCATAGTTCATGGGTTTATAATTTGTGGTTATTTTGAAGTTGTTAGTTTTTATCCCCCGGGACCATTTTTTAAAATTCCTGGCCAGTTTTTGATAGTTTTCTTTGTTATTAGGTAACTTTGCAATGTGTGTTCATCTGTGATTATGGTTTTAAAAAGTAGAAAAACAACAATTGATTATAGAAATAACAGGAAAATATAACTAAGAGGGGCTGAGAGAGTAAAGAATTGTTTAGAACAAGGGATAAGGGCAGTAATACTGCAACCATCCACTAGGGTGATTCAAAACGATTACAATTACACAGCTCTTCCTTAAAATTAATTTGTCAATTTGGTGTTGTGTAATTAAAACAGCAAACAATAAAAATCATTCTTGTTAGGAGCTTCTGTCTCATTGAGGTGACATCAGGCCAATCCCTATGAAAATTCTTGCTCACATGTTGATAGCTGTGACAAATTCCATCGCAACAATTGACACAATGTACAACACTCTTCAATGATCAACAGTATTTAAATAAAACAACTCAAAATTCTGAAGAAAAAGTCTTAAGTTCCTTATCTCCTTACATTAAAGGATCCTTTTATAAAAAAAATTGCAGTGCTAGGTATGGATTTTCATCTTTGGCAGTTCTTCTTTAGGCCACGCATACAAAGTTATGTTGAAATCTGTCCGCTAGTTTTTGAGACATTGAGTGTTGTTGAGAAAAGACACATTCTACTGAGGTTTTTCATCTTGCACTCATCAGGACAATTTTCAAGAACATCAGTTCAAGGGGAAAAACTAACATACTGCATGAGGGGAAAGTGCTGGTTGTTTGGAAAGTGGATTCTGATTGGTAGAAGTGTTGCAATGCACAAAGTAGTAGCGATTGACAGTTAACTGCCAGACTTGTTTAAATTTTAAACTCGGCATTAAAACAGCCACAGTGATATAGTATTTGCAACAAGCAAGGTTTTGACTGCACCCAGCAAGCCCCCGTTTGCAAAACCCACAGCAGTGTCCAACATTAGATATGATTCTGCAATTAGGCAACATTTGTTGGATATCCTGTACATGCAAAGAATTACACTGATGACCAGTTTAGGAATGTTTGTTGATCTTGCAATGTAGTTCACTTGTGTGTACTGGAAGTTAAATATATTAATACACAGAGCCATATCCTTTGCAGGAAGAAAAGACTTGTAAATGTACTGTACCTATTTCAACTGAATAAAACAGGTGACACCCAATTTGTAGTTCCATTCTCAGGTCAACACCCTGACTAATTAGAATCAGATTGCCTGTTTTAAATTAAATATACCTGCTCGTCAACTGTCAAATCATCATTAATTAGTGCAGTCCCCATGGCAAAGCTTCTACCAATCAGCACTCTCCTTTCATGCATTATAAATATTGGTTTTCTGCCTGCATTAGCATTCTTACAAATTGCCCTGATGAGCTCAAGCCAAAATTCTTCAACAAAGTGTGTCTTTTCTCAAAAATTATCAAATTCTGTGCTACCAAGTAGCTATTTTTGACATATATACTGACTAACAGTGGGTAAAAACATTAACTCTTCCTGGTTTTCAGGAACAGACGCAATAATCAAATTTCAATGAGTAAATGGAGCATTCAATCTGAAGTGTCCTTTTGTATCTGTAAAGGAAAAGGAGCATTAAAGATGTCTTGATTTATTTCTGTTTATCACACTGGTGATGCTACCTTAGCTCTTGCCATACAGAAGGTATTCAAAGTTTCGACAATGATTCAAGCAGACTGAATAGTTCTGTACAGATTCTGAAACTACAGTTGTCCATACTGTTCATTCAGAATTTTTCTTCCAGTTTCAGGTAGAAGGAGGCCTTTTTAAAATAATTTTTTTAAACTTTTTTGCCCATGAGAAATGTGGATGATTTCCTTCCACCAGTTCAGAAGAATTAGAAAATAACTATGACTGGTCCTCAGCAGCTGAGTTCAGTGACTTCCAGCTTAGCTAATGATTATAGACAATGGTCAGAAAATAATCAGGTTGCATATGGATAATTCTGTGGCTTTTTAAAAAGAAGGAAAGTAGCATGTTTCCCCCCCTCTGCTTTTTCCATCATTCACTTAGATCATTGTTAACTTTTCTCAAAATTCTAGTAGTAGCATCTTTTTCAACCTAAGAATGCCCCTAAGCTTTTCCCAGCCAATGATGTATATTTGAAATAAAAATTGAACATTTTGCAAAACACTTAGAAGCTCAGTCAATATTTGTGGAGAGAAAAAAGACTTTCTGCGTTCCTTCCACAGGTGCTGCCTGACGTGTTGAGTCTTTCCCAGCAGTTAATCTTTCAAATATCCTACATTTGCAGTATTTTAGTTTATATTGGTGTATTGGTTGTGGCCTTGTGCTCACCAGAACAATTGTAAGAAATGCCACATTTTAAGCAAGTATAACAACTTACACTGCAGGAGTTGAGTGTGCTGATTGGTCAGGAAGTAGATTCTGATTATTCAAGGTATTTTATTGGAGAAAGCAACAGGAAACTAGTTGATGATAGTCTTTTGGTTGACAAAGAATTGGTCCAATGTATGAATGAATATTTTTTCAACCAAACATAATAAGCCACAATACAAGTTTGACTGATTATCATAAATTGGTCATTAGTGTAGTTTTTAGTACAATTAGGTTTGTTCAGCAAGTGCTGCCCAATTGTGTAGTTACATCTAGGTTTTCTTCGTGGTTTTGCCAAGTGTGGACTGATTGAGTACATTCTAATATGCCACTGATATTCTGTGGCTACAGTGTGTATGTACTATTTACAGGATGTACTGCAGTAATTCACTATCGCTTCTCCAAATTTGTGATGCTAAATGCTTGGGAGAACATGATCAGCAGACACATAAAAACTTAAATCACATGCAAGTTCTCTTCCAAGTCTCTCTCAAGTCTGATTAGGATATATATTGAAATTTCTTCATTGTCACTGAGTCAGAATTTTGGAATTCTCTGCCTAACAATTTGAACATTTTTTTTTATCGTGTGGTTACCTATTCTTTAAGATTTTCGATATTGATATCTCAAGCTCTGTTCTCTTTACCAGAAATGTAATTGAGAAGCAATTTGAGAAAGTTACTTTTATAGTTAAGTTAGCATCAATCAGATCTTTGCAAGTATAATTTCAGAGGGAGAAATCATGTATTTAAAATAAATGTGCAACAGCATGTGATAAAAGTTAGAGAACACTTTGTCCTTTACGTATATGCACATTATTCAGATAGTTGATTGTTCTGATATGTTATTCAAAAAGAACTTTGCACACTATCAGTGTCAAAAGTACAAAGAATACTTCCTGTAGTGTGCTGCAGTTTAATACCATAATTACATCTTCTGCACTAGGCCACCCACAGCCATAATTGCTGTTTAAAAGGAGGATCAATAAACAATGTGCAACTTGCAAAGAGTCATACAAGCCTGCTTGGTTGTATTCAAAGAGAAGTCTCCACTGTGGCTGTATTTGATCACAAAGCTCTGATACAACCCTGAACTAACATGTTTAAAGAAATGCTTAGATCTTTAATTAATTCAAATTACTTCATTGAAGTGCACCTTTTTTTGTCTAAACAGACTTTTTACCAGAAAAAGATCAGAAAAGGAAATTACATTTTAAAGTTGTACTTAGCACGCTATGTTGCTTTTTGCTGCTTTCTATTTCGTATCTTTAGTCTTAATTTGACTGCCTTGTATTTTCTAATTGAATATATTTTCATTGCTAGAGAATTAAAAATTATAACCATAAAATGCTTCAAAACGTGTTGATTTGTCCACCAGATTGGCAGTCCACACAGGCATTTCATTCTTTTAGCTGGCCCTACTATCACAGAATTATTATGGAATAGAAAGAGTGCTGTGCTGCTGGTATAACATTGCACTAATACACACTGGTTGAGGAATCTGAGGTAGAGAGACTCCATATGTGTTCCATATTATTCTTTATGGCCCAAATGACCTTTTACTCCTCACCTTGGGATAGTGCCGCTTCCGTATTCCTATAGCCTCTCAACAGCCATTGTCGGCATAAGTGGCCCTGTTC